ACTAAAACCTAAAATATAATAATAAAATTAAATATTTAGTTTAATAAAAGAATTATAGACTTATTTATAATACTTAAGAACTTATTAAAAGCTTTAACTTTTAAATATTAATAAAAAAGTTTTATTAAAAACTTAAGCTATATTACTAAAAACTATATTTTAATTAATTACATTAACTTTATTAAAGGTCTATATATTAATAACTATCTTTAACTTAACCTATTTTATTTTATTTAATTTATTTAAGGAATAAGTATTTTTATAAAGTATTTACTTTTTATAAATATTAATTTATTTATACTGCTTTTTTAACTTAGTTAACTATATAATTTTTTTATTTATATATTAAGATAATAATATAATTTACTATTATTACTGTAATAACTTTTGCTTTATTTAATACTCTTCTATGTTTATATACTCCTTTTTAGCAGTTAAATATTATATTATAAAATTAATATAAATACTATTAAAAAAAAAAAAAAAAATTAAAAAATTATTTACTATTAACTAATAAAATCCTATTTCTGTTATAAATATAACTATAATAAGTATATTTTTTATACTTTAAATACTTAACTGCTATTTTATAAAGTAATTTATTAGCCTTATAATAAAAATAAAGTATAATAAAAAATCTAATGGTTTTAATTACTAAGACTACTGCTTTATAATAATTTAATTTACTTTTTAAAATTAAAAAATATTATTTAATAATACCTTTAAATATAATAAATATAAAAAGAAAAAGAATTTATAAAGTTAAGCTATTATAAAATTAAATAACGCTTTATATATAGGTCTTAAAGGTAAAGTTAATAAAAGGGAGTATTATATTATAACCTAAATTAATAAAAGTATATACTACAGTAAAACTATAAGTAAATGTAATTAATAAAAATATAGCTTTTTCTGTTTTACATTAATATATACTATAAAAATTATAAAAATAGCTTTATTTTTATAAATATAATAATATAAGTTTAAGTAAAAATAAAAGAATAATTAAATATATAAGTTTTATTTATTACTTTTATTTAAATAGTTAAATAGTTAGTTATTAATAAAGTATTAAAACTAAATATAAGTTATATTTTTTATTTTATTTTTATATATTTATAATTATAATTGCTTAAAAACTACTTTTTATCCTTTCTGTTAATATAAACCTACAACTTAGGCTTATTACCTTAGGAACCCTTGCCCTATACTAGTAATAGGGATTAGAACGTTACACTAACCTAACCGCTCCGCCAACATAAACCTAAAACCCAGAGGTTTGTCCCTTAGAAACAGCTAACCTATACCAACATATAGGACACAGTTCATCACATTTACTATTATACTTTTTATATATTAATTTTCCTTAACTTTTTCTTTTTATTTTTTTACTTTTATTATTTATTTTTGTTTATTTTTTTTTTTTATAATATATATATATATATATATATTTTTTTATATTTATATATAGTAATTATTAACTATAATATATAGCTATTATATAAATAGTATTTTTTTTTTTTATTTATTTATCTTTTACTTTTATATATAGTTAATTTATTAAAAACTCTTTTCTTTCTTTTTTTTTTTATTTTAAATTACCTATTATATTATAATTATATTTATATAAATTTACTTAATTCTTTTAATTCCTTTAATTTTTTTAAAACCTAAAATATTTTTATTTTTTAAATTATTTATTTTAAATATATTTTACTTTAATAATATAATTTCCCTTTTTTTTTATATATATAGCTTATTTTTCTTTTATATATATTTAAGTTTATTCTTTTAGTTTATAATCTTTTTTTTATAAATTGTTTTTTTTATATATTTAAGTTTATTCTTTAGTTTATAATTTCTTTTCCTTAAGTTTTTTTCTTTTTTTTTTTTTTCTTTTATATAGGGTTTATTTTTCTTTTTTATATATTTAAGCTTATTTTTTAGCTTATAATTTCTTTTTTTTTTCTTTTTTTTTTTAACTTCTTTTTATATAACTTATTTTTTTTTTATATATATTTTTAAACTTTTTTTTTTAATTTATAATTCTTTTTCTATAAATTATTTTTTTTATATATTTAAGTTTATTTTTTAATTTATAATATATTTTTTTTTTTTTTTTATATAAAACTGGGAATTCTATTAAGCCTTAAAAATACTTTTTACCTTTATCTTAAATTACCTATTACAGCTTATACTTATATAATAGCTAAATTTATATTTTTTTTTTACTTTATATTTTTTATTTATTATTTTTATTTATTTATTTATTTAATTAAATTATATAATATATTATATAGCTTACTTAACTTAGTTTAAGGGAAAACCTAATTTATAAATTTATTTATTTTTTTAATTAATAAATAGATTTATAAAGTAAATTTTTTTAAACTAAATAAATTATATAAAGTATTATATAATGTAATTAAAAAACTTTTTTTTTTTCTTTTAGTAAAAATATAATTTTTTATTATTATTTATTATAATTATTTAATATTATTTTTAAAGCTTAGGGTTATTTATTTTTTTTATTCCTTTTACCTTAAGATATTAATTATTTATTAAGCTATATAAGCCCTTTTATATATATTAAGCTATACCCCCTGGTTTTTCTACTTTAGTATATATATAGGCCTTATTTTTATTAAGCTATAGTATAACTTAACGTAGAATAATGGGATATATATATATATATATATATATATATATATAGAGTTACGCTTAGGGCTTTAGTGAAGTAATTAGTACAGTATAACTTTGCGCTTGGACCACACCAAACCACCACCAATTTAGTAGTACTTTTGATTGCTAATTACAAGCGTAAGCCAACTTAAAATAAGTAAGCTCATAGATACGCATTATTTACTTTAAATGTATACTTTTCTCGTTACTTTTGGAGTTAACTTTTTGCGTAACTCTATGCCAACCTCATACTACCTTATTAAAGAGGCTAAGAATTATCTAAATAATATCTAGGGCTTTAATAATTGCCAAAGGCCAATTTCTAAACGCATAATCCTTTAAACTTTCTGTATAGTATAAAATCAATCTCATATATTATTATACCCTTATACAGGCATTAGAAAGATTATAGGCTATAATTTAGCCCTGGGAGTTATAGTTCACTTCAGATTCCTGAACTAGCAAATCGTACTCCTTTATAAGCTTTTCAGCGGCGATCATACCGACTTGGTAAGCTGCCGCTTGCGTGTGTGCACTGTAGCAGGATAATTAACTTCAACTTTTCGGATAAAGATGAGGAGGACGGAAGAATTCTGACTTACCTTAGCATGATTGGCATTATGCTCATATCAACCACACGAAGGCCATTCACACCAAACACTCTAAAATCCGAGTCGACCACACCACCCTCATCCTCAGTCTGGGCCATTTTGCATGTCCCACTCATATGCCAAGTAGTTCCGCATCTCTCCCGCCACCACTTCAGAATATCCTCTTCATCATCAGTAGCTGGTGTGTCCCATTGCGATGCGTTTGAGGCGCCCTCTTGCAGAAAGTTCCCCGTCTTAATTACCTTAAGAACTTCTCTCGTTGCCTCTATTGCAACACGCTGATCATATGGATGCGTCAAGCAAGCTGGGTGGAACTCTAGAGGTGCGGTTGGGTCTTTTGATTTGAGCTCAACATGCCCAAGTCCCTGACTATTGTGTATAACGACCAGAACATTGATGATTGGTGGAGTGGTGTCGGGAGCTGTATAACACTCGGGACCAATGGATGAAAATGCTATTTCGTACGTGGGGATGGTGGGCAGACGCAGTCGTGCTTGCTCTACAGTAGGTAAATCTGCGTATTCCCGGCTTTTCATAACAGCATCACTTTTGAAGAATCCATAGAGAGCTGACGATGCTGTTGTGGTACACTCGCCGTCACGATATAGCTGCCATTGCTTCATAGCTTTAGCTTGAAGGACTGGGGACCGAAAGTACGGCATGACAGAGTCGAGGCCATCTGACTGCCTGAACCGTAGAGTAGAAAAGTAGTGGTCCATATAGTTCCGCCCAACATGTGGATTCTGGTGGACCAAAGGAATACCGAATGAAGAAAGCTGGCTGTCTGAACCAATACCGGAATGCATCAAGATCTTTGGGGTATCCAGGGTGCCAGCAGATAGGATGACCTCGTGATTGGCACGGTAGACTTTCTCATCAACTAATACGACTCCAACAGCTCGAGAATCCTCAAACAAAACGCGATGGGCGATTGCGTTGGTGACAACTTGAAGATTAGGCGGTGCTCCGAGTAATAAGTCAGATGCAGTTGACCTCGTGCCTCGGAAGCAAGTTGTGGAACCTATGGACATTCCAAGACGGTCGCCGCTGCTTGCGTCTTTGTTGATTGTATAGCCATTGGACTCCCAAGTTTCAAGAACAGGTATTGTGAAAGATTCCCAGGAGGAAGACATAGCAGTGCGGAGCAGTCCGCCGGACCCATGATTCTGTGACTTGGGACAAACATACTTCTCCATGTTTGGGGGAACATCTTCTGGTACCTTGCCGTGAAAATCCTCCAACTCTCTGAATCGTTTCTGTACGTTTTGCCAGTTCCACATATTATCTCCAGTGAGCTGAGCAATCTTTTCCCAATCATCTCGAGCGCCAACGTCCCATAGCGTAAAGTTGATGCATGAAGAGCCACCAAGGCCTCGCCCACGCTCTAGCTTCAATGCCCGACCACCGAGATGATATTGAGGTACACTTTCGTACGGATAAGTGAGCTCTGGGTTGGCAATTTGGATGAACCTATTGACACCCACACGTGCATTGATATCACTGTTGTCTCCTCCTGCCTCAAGTAAAAGGACGGATGGCTTGGCAGGACTAGCAGCGAGATGTGATGCAAGACTACAGCCAGCAGGACCAGCGCCAACGATAATAAAATCGTACTTCGCTTCGGAGTCAGTCTTCATGACTAATGAGAATCGAACAAAGGTCTCTGGTAATGAAATATGGAAGTGATAGATCAGTGTTGTCTGGATTTAGTAGACTGCACGGGGGCTTCCGCTATTTATAGAGGATTCTGTCTACACTAAGTCTGACGGCTGACTTAGCAATTATGTTTGTAAGGGTCGCAAAAAGTGACATAGCAGGTCAAACTACAATGAAGGCGATTCAGTATAGGAAACTTCAGTCAGGATGTCCAAATGAACGTCGATCAATTTCCGCACTATATGAATACGACAGAACACTAATGTAAACTGCACGCAGTCAGAAAAAAGTTCCATCCAAAACGGGTCATATGAATCATAGCAATATAAAATATACAGTCATGTAAAACCTAAAATACCGAATACATCGATTCCCTGCAGTTTCATCCCTATCGGAGAACCGCTATACAAAGCCAAAGTATTTCAACAACCAAAAGCCTAAAAAGTCAAACATACCAAAAACTAAAGATTGTAAGCCCTAGCTGTGGTAGGCTGCCATGGATAAATGGACTACGCCAGAGCTACCGAGGGTACCAGCTGTTCTAGCTTAATATTTCGTTTGTTCCTACATCCTCAAGAGCTGTACTTTACCAAAGGACGCTAAGCTCAAAAAATTGTCCCCAAGACAGGGTGTTTGGCAAATTGCTGTTTGGATCCCTCTCCAATCCGTCTTATCTGTCAATATTTTTAGGGACAGTCTATTGGGTAGCCACCCCTAAGTATTGAGCACCCAAAAAAATCGGGTCGTATAGCTAGTGGCCGTCAGCATAGGAAAATGACCGATGTCAGTTATTCTTAGCGTTTCACATAGAAAAAAAAACATACACAATATCCCTTATTATTCAATTGCAACGAAAAGGATGTCAAATCAAAGCTATTCGCAGACCAAATCTACATATGACTGCCGGCGGCCATAAAGTCGTTATTCAGTCTTGAATTTGAGACCGTTAACGAAGCCCGCGCTGCTATTAATAATATTAGTCAAACTATTGGCTACAATCTCGTACGGGCCAAATAGCATTGAATTGAGTTGTTGCAAAGGAAAGAAGTATAAGGAAAAGAAAGTCCCTGACCTCCCTGCTAACCAGCGCCGTCAGACAAACTCCCAAATAACAGAATACCCTTACAGCCTTAAGCTATTCTGACATCAAATTCAATAAACAATGCCATTACAACAACCCCAATTTCAAAAACAGCAGCCGGCCTCCAAGTCCTTAAAGTTATAGATACATATGAGCCCAGCACCAAAATGCAAAAGGCATATCAGCAGTCGTTACAACGCCTAAAGGATCAGAAAAATCAAAAAAACAAATGGATTAATAAAATCAACCCAAAATTTAAAAATGATAGATTAAGCGTAGGAAATAACTAAACAGAAAGCTATTGCTTTAGCCAAAAACAGAGCTATGACCTTAACCAGCAACGAGGCTATTAAATAATATAGTATTATAACCTAACCTAACTAAAATATAACCCCAGGTAAAATACAGACTAAGTAGCTAATAATAGCTTAGCTTTTTTATTATACACTAACATATACTTTAAACTTTATAAAAATAATTTTATTTTTATAATAGTAAATTAATAAATTAACTTAAATTAAATTAACTTTAATTTTTTAATTAATTAAAAAAAATTAAAATATAATTTTTTAATTTAATAATAAATTAATAAAATATTTATTAATTTATCAGTAAATTAATATTTAAATTATTAATTTAACTTAAAGCAATTAAATATATAAATTTACTTTTTAATATTTATTAAATTACTTAAATAGCTAGTTATTAGTATAATAATTAAATAAAATTTAGCTACTATATTTACTAACTATATAACATTTATAAAACAACGCCTATACTTAACCTAACTGCTTTACTAATATAAACCTAAAACCTAAAGGACTATCCCTTGGGAATAGCTAACTTATACTAATCTATAAGCCCAGTTCATCACAAAAAAGAAAACCAATCATAAACATCACTGTAAGTGTCCAGCCTGTGGACATAAGCCAGAGACAGTAGTGCATTTCCTATTTCGATGCACAAGATAGGATGCGTACTAAACAGAGATGCACCGATACACTGAAAATAAAAGAGGAAATATTTCATTCTTTTTAGGAGGAAAGGCGCTATCTGATAAATTAAATTGGATACCGAATTTAAAGGCAGTGCAAGCAATGAACTATATTGTATGCAGCATAATATTTTTCAATAACAATACTTTGTGGGTCCGGAAATTTTCTTCAAAGAGAGAAGTAAACCGGAAGTAACATTTGCCCAGAAGAATACATATTCTTAGCCACTCTTTAGTCATAGGGATGTAGAAATCGTTCCTATGGCTAGCTAAACCTTGCTCAACTTCGAATCATGAAACCTTTTGACTGCGTTTACTACTCAATCAGGACTAACAAATTAGGTACGTCTCAACAATCTTTGATTCGAATACTTACACATGTAGCACGTCCATTTCCCGGAAAACACAAATGTCCTGCTCCTTTGCATGGGTTTGATGCGTTACACTATTCTCTATTAGCTGTAAGACATTATACCGTAGGGATTCGTTTTATATTACACATTGGTCGCTAAGAGATGATTTGCAGATCCCGACACCTCCACAGGAACCTCCAGGTGCAAATACGCAAGTTCCGGAAATAGTCTGACGGGTCTCTAGCTCAGAACTAAAACCAGCAGAGTGGCCGAGGCTAAAAGCTGCTGTCAAGCCGCCGGAGGCAATTAAAACAGAGAAGATATTGATCTTCATGGTTATAAGTGTCAAAAAGTAAGGTATACAAGAGGAATACCTTTTACAGGTTCAAAATCCTTTCTCTATAGTTACACAAACTGGGCGTAGAAAATAAAAGTTTGTGAATTAAAAACTTAGATATATGAGAATATATACTTAGCTTAAAGAAACTCGAGGAAGTTGACAAGAGAGTAAGCTGACAAGAGAGTAAGCTGCAGAGAGACGGAAATATGACACGAAGATCTACAAACTAGGGTAGTCATCGACTTAACAGGCCATATCGAGTTACGTTAACTGCTTAAATCAGCATTTTGCCAATAGGGTTAAAAGATTAATCAATGTCACCCGTAGATTGAGTTGAATCAAATTGAAGACGTTGGGCTATCTACGCTTGTCCAGGGACGCACCGTGTCAGCGCCCAGCCGCCTGACTACCTTACTCCTCACCATCCAATATAATGCTGTTCGCAACATCTTCTGAAACGTTAACTAACGCGTTGGCTGTATCAATTAGTCCAATCCACACCCAAGACCTCAATGTCTGCGTTTCCTATTGTACTGGTTTCCAACCGAGTCCCTAAAAGGTGACACGACTTGTCCGGTGCGCTAAACAGCCGTTCCAATATATCCAGATTTTACCGCTCCACCCTCCCACCAGCCATTGCCACCTCTTCTACTATAGTCAACATTAACGGGCCGCATTATAGCTTGTGCCTTTAAGACAGAAGCATATATGCAACTATTAATAAGATAAGGCCCTTCAGCAAGGCCTTTGTCAGCTACCTGTCATGCCTTCAATGTTGGTTATCGCATTCATTTATTTATCCTTTTCCCCTTCTTTCCCTATTCTAAGACTGACTGACCTGGTTGCGCATTCGTTTGTACGTTACAAAACACCATGGTGTGGTTCTTGGCCATGTCGTCTTCTAGACGCATCGTCTCGTCATTATTGGCCGCATTTCTGCTCCAAACACGAAACGCTCTCGCTGTCGATGTCGAGGCCGGTTATGATCCGTATACGGCCGTGCAGGCCATGGTCAACTTGGCCGGTTAGTTATGGGAATGGGGAACGGCTGCCAAAGCCTTACTGGAGTTATATAATCCCGAGTTATCTATATTTAGAGCCAATCCATTCCCAAATAGCAAGGTAACAAAGGCAGATTTAGGCGTGTTTGCCCTTTAATATGCTAAACAGTTTATTTATGTTAATAGGCAAGTCTTTGTCTCTAATGCTGCAGTCGGCGACCTAGCTTCCCTTGGTGTATGGGTAATTATGATCGGTCAGTCTAACCAGGCCTATCTAAATGCTTTAGACAGCCAGGCTGATTACATCCTTAATTAGGCGCTGAAATACAGCAACGGCGCTATTTCACATTGCCCCGATGTTACAGAGCTCTGGGCTGATAATATGGCCATGTCTTTTCCATTTTGTGCGTCGAGAACCACTCCTGATTTATGGCCTTGACTGACATTTTTCAAACAGTGGCTTATTTGGCTGTTCAGAAGGGAGACACAAGCTTAATGGCTACAAGCGTTACTCAGTGCGGTCTGCAGCGTAATGTACTGAAGACTAGCCAGTATCTCAATTGGCAACACAATATCGGCCCCCAGTCTCAGGATATATATGCCTTTGGTCCACCGGTAATGGTTAGGCTGGTTATGGAATGGTGCGCGTATTGCATATATTGTAAAAGTGGTTAGGTTCATCCTCCATAACCTCTTAAGCTACCTAGCTTAAGACCTAGATAAAGGAAATCCTTAATGGCGCCTTGCTCTTAGGCTTTAACGACGGTTTTTTATATAATTATCTCAACGTCGTAAGTTAGTTTAGAGAAATATTTAATATAGTAATGCTTTCCGCTATTGCTTACTGTATAGCCGTTAATAATCCTTTTATGTTTCCTCCGAAATACATCACATAGGCAGATATAAACTGTAAAGCCCTGGCCAAGTATTAAGGCAGCAATGGTATTTTTCTCCAGCTGTTAACCTATATAACTGGAAGGATACAGCCAAGTATATAAAGGGTTTGCCTAAGGGTTAAATATTTATAGTTTACCTTTACGCAACTTATAGAGACTGCGTTAATACCAGTGTATGTACTGCACCTTAGTCATTAGCTATAACCATTTTAATAACTGGGCTTAGGCCATCTAAAGTTATTACTGTACTTAATGCCCCAGTTACCTTTAGTGCTATGCCTGCTCCCACTGACACTGTATATAGTGCTCCCTAAAGTTACAATACTAACGGTTGCAATGGCTTGTTCCAGGGCCTAATTAAATATACCACTTATTAGGCCGGGTTGCTGGCTGGATGCAGTTATACACCAATAGCTAATACCTGCAGAGCCTACTAGAGCTGTAATCTTAATGGCTGCGTTAACGCCTTTAATGTGACGAACTGGGTCCTATATGTTAGTATAGGTTAGCTGTTTTTAAGGGATAAACCTTTAGGTTCTAGGTTTATGTTAGCAGGCGGCTGGGTCAGATATAAGCATAGTCTTATTAATGTTATATAGTTAGTAAATATAATAGCTAAATCTAATCTAATTACTATATTAATAACTAACTATTTAAGCTATTTAAATAAATATAAAAACATAAGCTTATATACCCAGTTAGCTAAGTTAGATTATTTCTATTTTTAAATAATTCTATATTAGATTATTATACTTTTTAAATAATTTATTATAGAATTATTAAATTATTTTAATAATTTAATAATCTGCTTTTAATTAATTAAGTGGGCTGACTTTTATCTAAGGGGTTTTACCCTATAGGCTTATTATTACAACTATAAAAGCTAGGTTATAATATAATATCCCCCTCCTATTAGTTTTATTTTTAAGACTTTATTTATTTAAGTATAAGTACTACTTCCCCTATTTAATAAGTTATTTTAATAACTTTATTTTTATTATTTTATTATTAACCTTTATATTAACTATATTAAATTATATTTTTAAGTTATTTTATGTAAAAATAAAAAAATATAAAAGTTTTTTTTATCTTATAGTTAAAAATGCTTTTATTATAAATAAGTATTATTTTTATTATATATTATATAATTAAAAAAAATATTTTTTATTTCCTTTTAACTCTTTATATTATATTAAATATATATATTTAAATAAATTTTATTATAATATTTATAATTTATTTTTTAAATAATTAAAATATATTACTATTTATTATTTTTATTTAAAAAATAAGCTTAAGGTAATTAAAAAAAAACAATATATTATTAATATAAAAGTTAAGTGTTTTTATAAAAAAAAAATATTAATATAAAAAAATATATTATAATATTTTATAAAAGATTATTAATATAAAGAAATTAAATAAAGTTAAAAAGGTAAAGTATAAAAAGTGTAAAAAGGTAGAGGCTATATATTAAATTATAGCTTTATTATTTAACTTAACTACTTTTATATTATTTATTTTTATTATTAATAATTTTTTTTTTTTGTTAATTTATTTTTAAAAAAAGTAAATTTTTTTTTATTAACTTTTTTTAATTTAGCTTTTAATAGAAATTTTTAACTTTATCTTTTATATTTTTTAGATTTTTAATAAGTTTTTATATATTTTTTATATTAAAGTAATCTTTTTATTTTATGAAATATTTAAGTTATTTAATTTCCTTATTATACTTTAATATAATTATTTTTTTTATATTATATTTAAGTTCTTTTTTTTTAATAATAATTTTATTTTATATAACTTTTTTTATTTTTTTATTTATTACTGCTTTTTTTAATAGTAAAATATAAAAAATTAAATAAATTATTTTTTTTTATTTCTTTTTTTATAT